GCACCCCTGCCACCGTTCCCTCCTGTCCCCACATTCCTGGCAGCACAGGAACCCCACATTCCTGGCTCCAGCCCAAACTCTGATTTGCTTTCCCAAGGCTGGAGTTGAAATGAAAAGGGAGCGGGAGGCGCTGCCAGCCCTCGGTCTAGACAGGGGCTCCGAGCCGGCTCTCCTGGCTCCTGCAGCTCCCAGGGCTGGTGGAATCCAGCCCTGCAGCCTCCCCATCCCTTCCAGCCCGCAGGAGAGGCAGTGTGTGCTAATGGTCACCTCTGCAGCAGCTCCTGCTCCCTGAAGAAAAACCTCCTGGCCTCAGTGCCACAGGCTGTAATACTGGAAATGGCTGTCAATGTGAGAAATTGGCACACTGTAGTCCAACAAGACAATTTTTGAATTGCTGCATGCAGCTGTGCAGTTCTAGATGCGATGCTGCCTGCATCCTAAGCTGGGAACCGGAGCCTCTGAGATTTAAAAAAAAAACAGTTTTGGGTTGGGGCTTCCTTTCTGCTGGTCCAGAAGAAGGAAGCAGAGTGACCCCAGAGCACAGATCACTGCAGGCTGAGGAGGGGGTGCTCAATCCACACAACATCCCTGCTCTTTGAAGAGGAGCAGCTTTTCTGTGAGGCCTTTCTGCCCGTGTGCTCTGAAGAGTCAAAATTCCAGAATAAATAAATCGTGGCAAGATGAGATGGTGAAAGAAAAGAAATTGGTATCTGGAGGAAGAGGAAAAACAAACTCTCGTTTAACCAGCCATAAGGAACCACTTCACGCCTCGTTTCTCCCGGAGAGCAGGGAGTGGGGAGGGTTTGTGGATAATACCTGGAAGTCAGGCACCTTTCCGGAGCCACACTTTTACTGTAATGTGCTTCTTCGGGGAAGCCAACAAGCCCGGCTCATTAAATTTTAGTGCGATCTTCGCAGCCCTCTGCATTGTTTGATTAAAATTTAATAATGGATTTGGTGGCTTTCCTTGGAGTCTTGTCCATGCCAGCGGCAGCTCTGGGGCAAAGGTGGCTCTGGGGGGCTGTGGGGTAGGAGGGGGCAGGGTTGGTTTGCAGAGGGGGACTCAGGGAAAGGTTCTTCTCCCAGAAGGTGGAATAATCACTGGAACAGCTCCCCGGGGAATGGGCACAGCCCCGAGGCTGCCAGAGCCCCAGGAATGTCTGGACAGCAGGGATGCTCAGGGTGGGGTTATTGGGGTGTCTGTGCAGGGCTGGGTTGGACTGGATGGTCCCTGCGGGTCCCTTCCAACGCGGGGACATTGCAGCCTCTCGGACCTGAGAGCCTGGGCAGCAAAGTCCCCAGTTGTCCTTTGCCGAGGGGACCAGGCAGCACAGCGCAGCTCCAGCCTCATGGAAACGCTGTCCGGGAGCTGCAGCTGATCCAGCAGGGTTTCAGCGAGGTGTCTGTGTGTGCATGGGAATGAGGAATGGCCCGGAGCTGTTCGTCTCCGGAATGCAGAGAAAGGTTTTGTTTATGGTGAGCCCAGGTGTGGGTGATGCCCTTGGGCATCCGTGCCCGGGGCTGTGCTCGCACACCCGGCGCTGCAGGGAACGCTCCCTGCAGGGTCAAACTCACCCTGAGCTCCTTCACCACGGCTCGTCCTGAGCCGTGAGCCCCCAGGGCAGCTCTGGTGAGGGGCTCAGGCTCTGCAGTTCCCTCCTGCCCTGAATCCCGGCAAGGGGAGGGGTGTTCTGTGCACCCCGAGATCCCTTTGCAGCCTGTCCCTGTCCCTGTCCCCGTCCCTGTCCCTGTCCCTGTCCCTGTCCCTGTCCCCGTCCCTGTCCCTGTCCCTGTCCCTGTCCCTGTCCCTGTCCCTGTCCCTGTCCCTGTCCCTGTCCCTGTGTGGGATAACACCACCCTCCAAGCTTGCCACCCCCTCTCCATGGCATCAGGGAACTTGCCACGTTTTTGGGGTGTTTCAGAGAGATGGGAATTTGTAGTTGGGAGGGTGAGTGCTGCCACAGAGCCCCCATCCCTCAGAGCCCCCATCCCTCAGAGCCCCGGGGTCAGCCCCACACCTCCCAGGGCAGCACGGCTGGACCAGTCACCAAACTGGCAGCCTTTCACTTGACCTCTTTTCTGTGGAGCTACAGTGAACCTTTCTTCTCTTCCCCTCCTTTTTTTTCACCAAAAAAGAAAAAAATCTGAAGCCATTTCCAGTATTACAGCTTTTGCTGCATAAACCAGGGGGATTTTCTTCAGGGAGCAAAAGATTGATTCCGAGGTTTCCATTAAGTGACATTAGCACAGCACGGCCTCTTCCAAGGGCTGAGCTTGGCAGTCAATGTGTTGGGAAAGAAATGGGGTCTTTGCAAGGCCTGACTTCGGTGGCACTGGGCTACAACAGCCCCAAGGAGCTGAATTTAACGTGGGGCAGGGGAGCTGGCCTGTGGCGAGGGGCAGCCTGGCACTGGCACGGGGCTGTGCTGGCACTGCACAGGTTAATCCTGTCTGAGGACACGGGGTCCGGGCTGGAGGGTGCCCTGCAGTGGGGTCAGCTCCTCCAGAACAGCCCTCAGCCTCTTCCCCAGTGTTCCCATGGCTCCAGCATCCTCAGCAGCATCCCTGCTCCTGGCAGGGCTTTTCCTTTTCCTTTTCCTTTTCCTTTTCCTTTTCCTTTTCCTTTTCCTTTTCCTTTTCCTTTTCCTTTTCCTTTTCCTTTTCCTTTTCCTTT